TGCAATTATACGCTTATTTATACACTCGTTTCGTTAACTACTATAATATAAAAATTCCTGGTTTGTTTAATTGAATACTTTGCAATGTGTATTTCGTTCTTATGTAAATTAATTTTTCAAAAAATAAATATTTAATTTAAAAAAATGCATGTTTTTCTAAAAAATTAAAGTTTCTACGTGAACTTGATGAGATTAAAAACAAATATAGGCGTATTTTTTTTTCAATTTTCTTTAAAATACATCAAGAAAAAGAAGTGGACACAGCACAAATACAGTTCTAAAAAATCAATTGTAAGTATGCAGACACGCTCTCCCTCCCAAGCACTAACGAATTGGGTTCGGTCAGTTTTGGATCCAAGATCTATAAATAGAATGGCTGTCTGCCTGAATAGGGTTTCAAAAAATCAAAAGTCATTTCACTTAACAAATAGGGTTACATGTATCTCATATATATTATTATTTCACAATTCAACTCACATTTCATGAAAACAATGGAAAAAAAGGAAATGACAATTTTAAGTTCTTATGACGGTTCATCAAGTATCTGCAAAACCAATGTAAAGGGGCTAGATAAGAGTTTAGTAGCAATAGGAGAAACCCTCTGTCAAGAACAGAAAATTGCAAGTAAAACAGTATACCCATGAGAAATTTCAGAAGGTATAAAGTGCAATAGCAGATTGAATATTTCATTTTGAAGATCCTTCACTGTCCATTGAAAAATCAGATAATAAAGATATAATTAAGAAACTAATGCTTTCCTTTCACTTAACAGAGGACAAGACATTGAAAATTCAAATTTTGACAGTTTTTGAAAATTAGGCATACAATAAAATTAAATAATACTTTAAAGCAACCGACCACATGATAAGAGTGGCTAAAAAGTTAGCTGAAGAAAATGGAAACAACTGTGAGTTGTGATGAAAGTTCAGGAATTCTGTAGATCAGAAGAATTTATTGGAGTAATGGCTGCAAAGAGGAATTTTGTTAGTGTAAAAGAAGACGGCCATAGAATTTACAAACAGAAGAGACTAATTTTGTGTAATCTTAAGGAAACCAAAAATGTTTAAAGGACAAATATCCAGAAGACAGAATAGGGTTTTCTGAATTTGCCTCACTGAGGCCAAAAGAATGCGTTTTGTCTGGGACTAATGGAACTCCCAGTGTATGTGTATTGAAACCATGAAAATATTAACTTAATGATAGATTGGGAGAAACATTTTTCAATTAACAGAAAATTTTGGAGTAGTTATTGAAAACTACAAAGATGCATTGGCGTACGCGTTACTCGCAACCCATGAACAATATCTTGATATTTTCAGGAATGTTCACATTGACCGGAACCCTTAAACTTAACCAATAAAATTAAGGAATTATTTGCACAAATAACTTATAGACAGTGGATTAAAGTTGATCGCAGGAATTAGGAGACTCTTCAATCTCCAACAAATGAATTTTTAGACAATTTCCTTGACAAACTTCTCTCTTTATTGCCTCACGTATTTATAGCTCAGTAACAGAATTTGTTTTTGATCCAATGCAAGGAAGAATTACACTTCGACCACTGCATTATATTGGTAGATTTTTCTGAAAATCATTCCTTTATTATTCAAGATTCAGTTCAAGGTGTGCATTGAAACAATTAACAAGCCAAAATACATCCCTTTGTAGACTCTTACAAAGATAATGAAGAACTTCATCACAAAAGTTTTCTTGCAATTTCAGGATGTATGAAACATGATACTGCTTGTTTTCATCCTTTTCAAAATAGAATAATTGCCTTCTTAAAACGGAAATTTTGCGATATGAAGAAAATTATTTACTTTTCCAATGGTTCAAGTGCACAATACAAAAACAATAAAAAATTTGAAAATATTTTCTTCCATGAACAAGATTTTGGAGTTTGTGCAGAATGGCATTTTTTTGCGACTTCACATGGTAAAGGAGGCGTTGGAGGAATTGTTAAGAGATTTGCTACAAGGTCAGACTACAACCAGGTCAAGATCCAATTACAATGCTGAAGAAACTATTTGATTGTGCAAAAAGTAGTATTTCAAATATTTTGTTCTTTAGGTTCACACAGTCTTCACATTAAAATTTAAAGTCAAGGTATAAAACTTTAAAGCCAATAACTGGATCATTAAACATACGTTCTTTCACTCCTGTGTCACCAAGTGAAGCTACAGTGAAACGATTTTCTTTCGCTAAAGAAGGGGAGCAAGTATATTTGAAGCGAAGGACAAGATAATTTCAAAATGTCAGTCACAATGTGTGTCAAGAATCTGATATTGAATAACCAAATATAATCGTGAAGTTGCTACCTCATGAAGTAAAATTATTACATCATCTAAAGGAACTGCTGGCCTGTAACACAAGAAACACGTCTGTTGCAGCAATATACTACACACTGGTTGATAAAATAATTAATATTTTTTAAAGTTACTGAGATCCCACTTTGATTTTTTCTGGTGTTCAACCATACTCTAATGTGTTTAAAAATACGTTTTTAAAATTTATTAGCTCATCAAATTTACAAAAATATTCAACTTTCAAAATATTTTTTGAAATAATAATTTTGGGAAAAGATATTTTGCAAAATATCTTTGTGTTTGTTGTTAAGTTTTGAATGGAATTAAAATGGATTTTCAATCATTAGTGAATTCAGATTTTTTTATACATTAAAGTTTGTGATGTGTGTCATTTATAGAAAATTTCAAAATGCAATATTTCCAAAAATATTAGAGTTAGTAAGAAATAAAAGTACTCATGTTAACATATTTGATCCATATAATAAATTTAAAAAAATTAAAAATGTGAATATCAAATTTTGATATTTTTTGTGCGATTTGGTGTGCAATGACTCTCTTAGGAAATCTCTCCTAATAGACAATATCTTATATATTGAATAATACTTTTCCTTGTTTCTGCCAAATACTAGGGTTTATAAATAAAAATGTATTTTCACATTTGAAAATCATCTTAATTATTGCAAATATCAATGTTTGAATCATCAAGAAACTTTATTCTTTGAATTAATTAATAATTTTGAATTATTAAAAATGAACTTGATCTTTTTTGTAAAAATAAGCAAAAACTACATTTTAATATTCAACACTACAAAACTATGCATTGTATACTAAAAGATTTTGGCTCAGAATGTGGATTTTGCCATGAAACATAGAGATGTTTACTTTTCTTGCAGATATGAACAAAAAAATCTGAAATTGTATTCTCAGATTACTGATGAGTGACTCATTCAGCTTTTTCCTACCTTTTTTTTGTAAGTTGGAGGAACTGCTAGGCAAGCACAGCGCAGGACCACCACCCGGCCACACCCCTGCCCAGGCTCAGCAGCAGCCCAGTGCTTCACCGTCAGCTCAAGGGACGGCTCTGATACCACAGCAGGTATATATGTATTTATTATTCCTCCTAGTATGTTTCTTGTAACTTGATGGTACAACACTATAATTTACATACATTACAAGATAATATAAAAAAAATATTCTTGACCTTAAGGAGAGGAAGGGATGTCCACTATGTTCATTGGTATGTCTAGAAAAAAAATATATGTTATATATGTTCATTAATACCTGAAGACCTCAAAATTAACGATTTTTTGTTATTAATACTATATTAACCCCCTAACACAGATAATTCTGTTTGGTTATTAGGGAATTTTTTATGAATTGAAAAACAGAATCATTACCATATAAAATTTATTGGCACTAATGTGAAATATAAAATATAAAATCAGAAGAAAATTTAATTTTGTTTACATTTTTTCCTCTCTAGTACCAAGTTTCTGAGTAATTTTTTTTAAACCAGGAATTATTCACAAATGTACAATACAGAACAGCTGTCATTTTGTTTGATGTGTGAGACACAACTCATCTCTTATGGGTATGTTGATTTGTTGGGATGATGTTCTTGGGTTTTAGTCTTGCAAAAGCAACATTGTCATTTGAAATATTCCTAGCAATGGCTGCCCTTTTCTCTTCAGCTCTGAAGAAAATTCAGGGTATTTTTCAGTCAATATTGTAACTAACTTCAATCAAAAATTTAGCTGCTAGTCCATTACTCCAATTTTAGTATACAAAATGTAACTGTTAAAAAAAATGTCAATGCCCAAAAAGTGCCTAATCACTTTATAACATTTCTTCAATCTTTTTCTGGAAATGGATTCTGTAATCATAATCCTCTCCATCCGTTCCTTTTACTGTATTCTAGACATATGTGTATATACACATTCTTCCTGATTTTAATAAACTTTAATATACCATTTCATTGAATGTAGAGAACATTGTAACATCAAGGTTAAGTAAATAAAACCACCTTATTTTATTTTTCCCATCATGTCGCCGTTCAAAAGAGAACCATCGCTGCATTGTTGCCCAAGGCAGCATATGGTGGTAATATAAAATTATCGTAACAAAAGTTCCTACAGATTATGGCATTCGTTTTTTCAATTTTTTTCATACTACTTTTAAATCTTATTTTTAAGAGAGAAAATCTAATTGGACTAAGTTGAATTAAGATTTTTGGATTGCTCAAAAGAAAATATACTTAGAGAATACAAGTTAATATTAGAAATTTTAATGGCAACATAATTAAAATTAAATCAATTATTTTTCATCTCCTTTTAATACATTTTTGTTCTCTGGAGATTTTCCTTGAAGCCTGCAGATTGTTTTTAATGAGCTGATTATTTAGAAAAGTTTGTTTAATACAAAAATCTCTATCTTCCATTTTGTTGTTTCAAAAAGTGAGGTTTTTGTAATTTTTAAGATTACAGAGAGTTCAACAAAAATGAGACTTGCTCCATTCTTTTAAGCATCCCTTCTTCTATCCATAAAAAATGTACAGAAAAAATTGGAATAGTTTTCGAGAAAATATAAATTTTTAAAATTGCATCCTCTTTTACATATGAGGAGAAAATTTAAATAAAATTTGAAATATTACGCTTTCTGCAAAAATTATCTCTAATTATTCTTTTTCTTTATTTAAGCTACATTTTCAGAAACGCTCATATGCCATTTTCTCAAAAACAGAACAATTTTTTTTTTCAAACCTTTTTTACGGATAGTGTTAAATGCACTGTATAACATGACATAAATGCCATCTGGCTGTATTCTTTTTTTGCTCTTTTTCAAAAATCATGCGAGTTTTTTATTGTATCCCAAACTGTTAATACTCACATTTGCAGCAATTTGTATACGCTTTTGCATTTGTGAGTAGAGTGCTTTCGATGATTTCCAATGCAGTTCCTCAAAAACTCAAAAGATATATGTGAAATGAGCTTCAAATTTCACATTTACACTAAAGCTTAAACGACATTTTCTTAAAAACGGCTCGGAATTTTTCTAATGGAAATTTGCATTTAGGACGAGGGTTTTCTCTTCTATAATATTTTTAAAGTAATATTTTGCTACTACCATTAGAAAACCGAAAAAATTAGATAAAAATGAACTTTGGGTGACGATAGGCGACAGCTGGCAAGGGGATGGGACAAGACCAAAAATTTAGCCCAGACACAAATAACTTAGAAAACTATCTAGAACGAGAAAGTCTGTTCCATTCTATACCACCACTAGTATTCCTCGATTCCATGGTTCTTACGATTCAGTAAGTTATGCATTGTTTATCGAGTTCCATATCGAATAAGAAGCAGTAACGTATCAGTAAGAAATGAAATTTAATTTTTTTTCGCATTCGCAAAGGACGATTAAAACTTTTTAACAACATATCTACAGGTGGCGCTTTGCTAAGCTATTTCAAAAGAGCCGCGTAGCATATGCGATGTTCCTAATTGGACGAGAGTATGTGTGGCCGACATTGAGAGGGCAGCACTGAATCACGAAGTATTGCGAGTCGTGAAAAGTTGCATTCCTGCTCCATGCAATTGCATCCGAGCGCAGGGTAGGGGAGATTAGCATCCGAGCGTTAATTGTAGCTGATGCAAAGTTGTTTTTATTGTATGTTGACGTGGTGGATAGACTCGTAGAAGTTTTTTGGCATGTGACCGCAGCCTATTACAATATTTTACTACTCCCCTTTGTTACGTTCTTCAATACAGCTACGTAAGTATTTGTATTTTATTCTCATAGAACATGACCGGGTGGTACCTGATGAATTTTTTGAAGTGGCATAGAAGTGCTTTGAATACTAAATTATGTAACTCGAAAACCTCTGTGGTGTGCAATGTTGACAAGGGGTCATTTGCATTATAGCTAAAGTCCAAAGTATCCGTCTGGGGTTTTATTATTAAGTGAGAAATGTAAATTTCACATTAAAATCTCATTAATTTTCGAGAAAACGAAGCTTATTTCCAATGTTGTGTTGTCTTTCAGCATATATTAGTTAGTGTCTGTCTAGAGTGAAGGTTTTTTGAATTCTTTCTCATTAAGCAGTACCACCTAAATGCTACTACTATAATTTTTATACTGAACTAGTATAAAAATTATAGTATTAGTACTAAACTAGTATAAAAATTATATTTAAGTATTTAGATGGTACTGCTTAATGAGAATGAGAATTCAAACTAATACATGCTGAAAGACAACATAACACAGAAAATAAGCTTTGTTTTCTCGAAAAATTAATGAGATTTTATATGCTATGGAGAAATTACTCTAAGATGGGTCCACTTTGACTACTACTACTAGCAACATAATAGCTTGTTATGTCCATGCACTCTATTCATCAAAGCATCTATTTTCAGTAGGTTCACTTCTAAATGGCTTTGACACTTTCTCTAGCAATGCAAATCACCCAGCCTGATAATCATTTGTTTCCTAATCTGTCAAAGTGTCCCTTCCCAGAGTAACTCCTCTATACTACGCAAATAGAATGGTTCCCTACTATTGCAAATATTGTGAACAGAAATCACTACTGGGTTCAGATGTGATTCAGATTTGAAAATATGTGGAGCACGAGTTGAATATCTTTAATTGTTAGTTATATTTTTTTCCTCATGTCTTTCCTTTTTATACCACAGCATAAAAAAAGATAAAACCACAGTTTAATTCACATTGAATGTGAATTAAACTGTGTTTTTATTTATTTATATTTTTTATGCTATACAATATTATGCTACATAATTATTTGCGACATGTGATTTTGAGATTTCTATTAATGTTGTTGGGGTGCAACTATAATCACAACTATGCATTTGTGAGCATAGTTGAAGGGAAATTTATTGTAATTACTTCCCAGTTGCTGAAATTTTAATGCCCGTGCAATTTTAAAATTTTCATTCAGGCCAATTGATTCTCAGAAGAACATTTTTTGAGGAACTTACATGATAAGACTATGTAATATACAGCCAGTGTCAAATCATTTGCAATGAGGATACAATAATTTGAGGCAGCCAGTGAGAGAGGGAGCTTACACACAAAATTCAAAACACCAATTTATTAACAAATTTAATGTGTTCATAATCAAATACATTCATAAGATATTTTGAATTTTGTGGGTTAGCTCCCTCTCTTACTGAATGCATTTGATTGGAATTATAAATGTCTTGTCATCTTCTATAAGTTTCTTTAATACTAGCTTCATATGAAAATATTGCATCACAACATAGTTTGAAATTAATATTAAGTTATTTTGTTTTGAGGGATATTTATTGCCTTGTTCATCTTGTCGTTTGATGATATGAATATTTTGCAGTACTCTACCAATGGCATGATATTCTTAATGTTACAGAAAATTTCATCGTGGACTTGGAACTGCTGAGTACTAAGCAGATGTGAAATGTTAAACAATATTTTCACAAAAAAATTAATATTCTGTTGCTTTGTTATATAGATTTTAATTTTGGCTTTTATTGGATTTTTTTAATTTTATGTTAATTTTAGAAATTAATCAAGTGGTTTTGGTTTTAGAGTTTTTAATGTATCAGTTTGGTATCCTGTTAATAAACGTTACAATAAATATGCTAGTTAGGGAGAGACAAAGAACTGAAGTTATTGACATTAAGTTTAATCCAGCACATTGCAACAAGCACTGTGGATTCGATATGTTTCACACAAATAAAATTATTGTATTTCGAAAATTTCACTACCCTGGTATATTTTGTAATAAAGGTCTTCACACACGCGCGCTCGCATTCACTCCAACGCTCTGTCTGTAACCGTTGGCTGCTGCAGGGAGAAATATGCATCCACCGTTATAGACAGGGACTTCCTTCAAGAATGGCCAACTTTACACAAAGAATTCATTAAGTGTGCATTTTGAATCAATAAATAAAATATCAAATGAAAACAAATTCTCTAAACATAAATAATGCATTAAATGCCGTCAATAATCGACTAAACGTGTGTACTTTCATCACGCGAAATTCATAATTTATTGCGTTGCAGCTACACGGACGAAGACAGAATATTGGTATTCCCCTCCGACTCCTTCGGTCGCCGCGAAGCGCTTTCCAAGCGCTTGGCTTGGTTGCACCGCCGAAGGGCACGTGATCCCCATGTTATATCGAAATGCCAAATAGTAAATGCAGTAAACCCAGCTATACAGGCAAGGCACTACACATCGGAAAGCGCCAGTTGGACGCTCTTGGGTTTCAAAATTAGTTCATATACATCGACATTCCTGCATTATCTTGAATACTGAATGTCATTTAAAGTAAAATGTATATACCTAAGATATCTTTTTTCGATTGTCTACTGTGCTACTGTTGTGCTACTGTGCAATCTAAGCACCAGCCACCACCAATAGTATGCTTTTTTAAGGATTTACCCTCTAGATATTCTCTCGGCAGCTTGCAAGATTGCAAAGAATATGCTACTAAAACTTATGTTAAACATTACAACCAAAATTATTCAGGAAAATACTTCAATGTGTACAAACGTGTGTTCAATCCATTCGAAATTAACGAATCCCGCTGCTCATTGAGTTTGTATATCTTTCATTTCAAATACTTCCACGGAATACCAAGACATGGAAAATTCAACTTTCTAAAACTTTAATAAATGTGTTTTTAATAAATGTTTTTGTAAGTAGCTTTGTTATGATTGTTTTTTGAAAGATTTTTTTCCATAAAATCAAAACATTTGAAATCATTTTCTGAATTATATTGTTATTCATATTTTACTTGATTAAAAGTTATTCCAGAAGGTAGTGTTAACTTGGAGCTGAATGAAAGCTTCAGATATTCCGGTAGCAATTTTGAATAATATATTTCTCATTTTCGTCATTCATGTGATTAAATATCCATTCGATTATTGTAATGTTAAAATCGTGAAATAGTCATAGGTAATACTTCGAGTGCTTTAGAAATTGTCGATAAATCCCCGTCTCACGAAATGAGGGATTTATCTGAGAATTTCCAAAGCACTAGTGTTATTAAATAGGACAATTGAAAACGAGTGAAATTATTTCTCACAGTTTCAAAACGCGCCAAATATTGAAAATATGTTAAAATCAAAGAGGATATGTTATAGTACATATGCTGTATATTAGACATCAACATAGATGTATACCGCCTCGTAAGTTAAGTCACCGTTTATGATTGTCCAGAAGGGAGAAGTGGTAAGAAAAAGCGATAAACCTTTTGAGAAACACCGCCCTGTTTCTGACATTGTGTATGTATAGTTAAACACTATTGGTTTTAACTTCACGAGTGGCATAGTCACTCTAAATATTACTGGAAGTGCTCTGATGGCCGGTAAATTCACTCCTCGCTACGCGTCGTGAATTTACCGGCTATCCCAGCACTGCTCGTGATATGATGTGACTCGTGACTTATGAAAACAACCGTAGCGTGTTTGGATTTTAGTGCGTGCGCGATGAGCTTCTTCGGACTTCGGGAGGCCGCTCGGACTCCGGGCGGGCACCTCGTCTTCGGGCAGGAGCCTCGTCGGACGGCGGCGGCGGCGGCGGCGCCGACTCGCGCTGACGGCGGCGGCGCGGACGCGGAGGAGGCGGCGTGGTTGGCGCGCGGCGCGGCGTGGCTGCAGGAGCTGGGCCGGCGGCTGGCGGAGGAGCGCAGCGGGCGGCGGCGCGCGGAACTACGCCTGGAGGAGCGGCAGCGGGCGCTGGACGAGCGCGTGGCGCGCGTGGAGGAGTCGCTGCAGCGCGCCCTGGAAGGGCTCATGCCCAAGGTGGGGCGCAGCAGCTTCTCCTACGCCCAACAATAGCGATTCTCTCTGCATGGTGTGTCAGAGAATAAAATGTTAAAAACTTCTCGGGCATACAGTAGCGTAACGAAATGAGTACGAACCCGCCTGCAAAACATTTAACCGAGCCCCCTTTATAAAAGTGTAAAGCTAACACAAGTAGTGTTCGTACCTTCAGTATAAAAAAAATATCCCCTAAAACGGGCCATCTTTTACCCGGGCCCGCCCGCATTGCGAGTCCGAACGTTACGCCACTGCGGACATGTTTAGGGATCGAAAATGATCACTTTTTTGCGGAAGAATTCGTGAGTGGAAATTCATACGAGTATAACGAAAGTTCTACGTGTGACATTGTCCCCCTGATTGGTAGACAACCCAATCTGCTTTGATGTTTGGCATGTGCGTTCGGATGCAGTCGAAAAGATTTCGTGCCCAGAATTCATTTTTCAGGGGCTAATGCTAAATGTAGTATTTCAGTATGTGAAATTTCCGAACGTGTTTTTATTGGCAAAAACTAATCAATTTTGCAACATACCATAGAAGTTTGTAACATTTATTCTGAGATGTTCTGTATAATACACTAAACAAAAACACCAGTTGACTATGTAAAAGAAACTATTGATATACTACTCATAAAGCCCTGTAAGTGTGCTGCTGCTCCTAGATGAAAATTACCCCTGCCCTGCATGAACCAAATTACAAAGAAAAAAGTAAAAATTAGCAGATTATGGTTTAGGAAAAAATCTGCACAACTACCTTGGAACACACATTACCACCATGCATATTTCAGAATATGTGTGCCTAAAAACACTGTTTTCAAGTCAGTTCAATATGAAGTAAGGCAAGATCATCCCATTCATGGAAGTTCCAAATTGATGAGTAGCTGGAAAATTATGCATTTATTTCATGCTGAAATATTCATTCAAACATACCCTCAAAATTGTTTGCTATTATCACTGAAATGTTTAAAATATACAGCATTGGTTACAAATGCATAAATTTTGCACTGACATTCACATCCCAGCGGATGATTTTGGATATGAAAAATAGATTGTCTATTTCTGCACGTTTTATTTTACATTTGTGCTTTCAAAATGATGTTAAGATTATCAACACTTAGGCAGTGTATTACCACCTTCAGTTTAAGTTCCGATTAGAGTTAACCGTAAGTTTGCGACAGAAATTACGAGCGTCAGTTAAAGGTAAACCGGAGGTTGAAGTAAGGTGAAATGGCAAATGTAATAAATTTAGATACTGATTCTGAAGATGAAATGGTGTTGGAATATTTCGTTAATTCCAGACGGCTCAAATGTTTGAGGCTCAGACGGGATAATTTTGGATAGTAGGACTACGGCGAATTTTTCGCACGTTTCAGGATTACGAAACAACCTGCTTTGTTCGTGTTGCAACAGATTGGAGATGAACTGGAATACGTTACAGACAGGTATGAGAATGTGTATAACATATCATTAATTGCAAGAGTTATAATATGTTCCCTATGTAGGTAGAGGAAGAGCTTTCCTTAGCTTTCTCTCTGAATTTTTGACATGCTGCTTTAATTGAAATAATGTTATGTTGTAACCTCCTGGTTTGTAAGACATCCAAGTGATATATTATTGAATTTGACATGTTTAATATTATTGCCTTATTAAATAATAAGTAGACCAATGAAAACAATTATCTTTATTAATGGTTTACTAGTTGTCTTACATGTTTTTCAATAATAAGTTTTCTCTTCTTTGCTTCCATATCCATTTCTATAAACTTTCTCTTCACATTTATTAAACTAAGTTCTTCTTTTATCTTCATGTTAAATGAATGAAGCTCTTTCTCTTGCTCCAGCTTTGCATGAAATTCCTTCTGCAGAAGGGCCACTTCAGTCCTTGCAGAAGCCCAGGAATGCATCTTCTGCCTGCCTGCATGCGGAAGGACGAATTGTAGTGTCGCACATCAGAGGTCGTGGTCTTCATGTACTGGAGGTGACAATTAAATTCAGATTTTTCTTCTCCTTTAGCATAGCGCGTGTTTATCTTGACCACTCCTACAATTCACTTTCACCACACTGCACCAATTCTTCGACTTGTATAATAGGCAGGTCAATTGTCTCACTTAAAATTTCTTCTTCTCTTTCTCCTGCTACTGCTTATTCTTATTCTTATTCTTATTCTTATTCTTATTATTCTTATTCTTATTCTTATTATTCTTATTATTCTTATTCTTATTCTTTTTATTCTTATTCTTATTCTTATTCTTCTTATTCTTCCATCATTGTGCTTATATCATCACCATCATGTGTAGATGGCATTCATGCAGCATTTACTCTCATAATGCCAGCAACTATTTCCAAAATAGGGTCTTTTGCAACACTAGTTGCTAGCCCTCCTCTGGTTCTTAGGGTTTCCTGTCTCTCTCAGCCCAACATTTTCATTGCTTCTTCTTTTCAGTGTGACCGGTGTGGAACATTCCTCCCTCATGAAATTGGCTTCTTTTTTATTCTTGACATTTTACTGAAAATTTTATTTTCGCAAGAGGCACTTGAAAAGCGAATTACTCTGCTATTGACCAATTGTCGCCAAGCCCAAAACAAAACTGGAAACAAAACAAATTTCCAATTTTACAGTGAGAAAGTGAACATTGCAAGAAAAGTTGAATATCGAAAACATTATGCTGCACTCTATGAATCTTTTTGAGTACTAGGAAGTATTGCCACCAACGTAACGTAACGTAAACGTTAAAGTGAGAGTCAGCTAACTTCCAGTTACTTCACACTCATACGAGGTAAACGAAGTCCATTTCAACCTGAAGTGTCTTTAACCGGCAGTGTTAACCGAAGGTGGTAATACAGGGCCTTAGGGAATTTCTCCTAATACCCAATATGTATTTCAAAAATACTTTTCCTTCTCACACAGGGCATGTATTTTGTATTTTAATTTATTTGTGTTTAATACTAGGATAGTTATATAGGGAATTTATTTTTACATTTGAGAACTATCTTAATTGTTACAAAAATTACAAACAAAATAAATTTTACTTAATGGGCACCAGGTATGAATGCTTGAATCATCAAGAAACTTTATTCTTTGCATTTATTAATCATTTTAATTATTAAAAATGAACCTGTTCTTTTCTTGTAAAAAATTAAAAATTTGCAAAAACTACGTTTTAACATTCAAAATCACTAAAATGTGCATTATATACAAAAAGGGGGTTGTCTCAGAATGTGCATTTCACAATGGAACAGATTTTTTAAAAAATTTTTGGCAGATGTCTAAAAACAACATGTAATTTTCGTGAACTCTCCAGATTACTGATGAATGACACTTTCAGTGAGCCTTTTTCTGTGCATTTTGTCAAAAGGTGGAGGAACTGCTAGGGAAGCACCGTGCAGACCCACCACCCACCCACAGCCCTGCCCAGGCTCAGCAGCAGCCCACTGCCTCACCGTCAGCTCAAGGGACGGCTCTGATACCACAGCAGGTACATATGTATTTATTATTTCTGCTAGCATGTTTCTTGAACTTGCACAATGGTACAACACTATAATTTATATACATTACTAGTAAGTATAAAGAAATATTCTTGATCTTAAGAAGGCGAAGGGATGGCAGTCTGCCTTTGAAATGTGCTGTTATAAATTGGAATTGGAATTCAACACAATTAGTAAATGGCAATGTCCACCATGTTCATTAATATCTGAAGACCTCAAAATTCACATTTTTACTCTCTCAATTTTAAAAGAAAGTATTATATTCAAAGGAACATTACTGTCTGCACAGCAGTAAATAGCCTCTTTTTGCTTTATGTGTCTGACATTCAACCTATCTTGCATAAGAATGTTTTTAATAATGTTCTGGGGTTTTAGTGTGGCAAAAGTGATGCTGTCATTTGAAGTATCCCTGGCAATTGTTGCCCTTTTTCTTTCAGCTTTGAAGCAAATAC